TTTTAGACTTTTCCGTTTTTTTCCGGTTTTGTTGTTAAAGGCAACTTTAGGATGTAATAAGCAAGTTAATAACAATTTTAGCAATTAAACAACCAACAAAGTACAAAGTAGAAAAGGGGAAAAGTCAAAAAGGGAAAGCAGGTTGTTTTAAGGGAAAAGAAAAGGGGGGAAGAAGGTAAAGGAAAATTTGTATTTGAATTTATTTATTGTTTGTTTACCAATCACCAATGTTTAATGAGTTATTCAAAAAAAGTGTAATGATTTTTTGTCAAATGATGATGTTTAAAACAAAATGTTTAAAAAAAGTGATAAAATGTAAAATGTGTGAGTTTTAAATGGTTTGGTTGGTTGTGGCATGGTTGTGGCATGGTTGTGTGTTATTATGAAATGTTTTATATTAATTTTGTTTTTTGTTTTTTTTTTTAATTTAAAGTGTTTTAACAAACATTCACCATATTAAAACAGTTTATTTATTTTTTTTAAATGCAAAATTAGAAAGTTAAAAAGAAATCAAAAAAGAACATATAAAAAAAGCACACAAAAAAAATGAAATAATTTTTATTTAAAAAAAAATAAAAGGATTTAAGATGCAATAAGTAAGTAGAAGTTAACAATTAAATTTTATATAAGAAGAAGAAGAAGAACATTAAATGATTAACGCAAAAAAGTTTTTCAGGATTTTGATTTAAAGCGACATTTATATATTTTAATATAAATTTAATAAAAGTGCGTAGTAAATTGGACAACAACAAATATTTTTATTTTTTATTTTGAAAAAAGAAAAAAAATCGAAAAAAGTTTAAGAAAAATTAGATGATTTTTTTTTTGTTTAAAATATTTTTTTTTTAAATTAATTTGTTTTCTAAACTAAAAACAAACAAATGGTAGAAATGGAATAACAACTAATTTTTGTTTATAAATTATAAGCAAAAAAAGGGCTAAATAAAAATACAATAAAATGGTATAAACAAAAATGCAAACTAAATTTAAATATTTTTTTGTTTTTTTGCAACAAAGTTAAATATTTTATTACTACAAATACTTTTTAAAGTGAGACCTTCTTTTATAAAAAAAACACAAAGTTCAAGAGATTCTGTTTTATTTAATATCTTTTGAATTTTTTATAATTTAATTTTTCGACCAATTTCAGGCATATTCTGAATCCTTATATGTAAATAGCAAAGTTGATTTAGTGATGATGTCCTTCTGTCTGCATGGTGAGATCAATTTTCCAAAGGCTTTAGTTATCTTAGGGATCCTAATCTTGAATAAAACTGTCAGACTTTCTTTTAAGAAGTTTTCTATAGTCTAGTCTATAGTCTAGTTTATAGTCTAGTTTATAGTCTAGTCTATAGTCTAGTTTACAGTCTAGTTTATAGTCTAGTCTATAGTCTAGTCTATAGTCTAGTCTATAGTCTAGTCTATAGTCTAGTCTATAGTCTAGTCTATAGTCTAGTCTATAGTCTAGTCTATAGTCTAGTCTATAGTCTAGTCTATAGTCTAGTCTATAGTCTAGTCTATAGTCTAGTCTAGTCTATAGTCTAGTCTAGTCTATAGTCTAGTCTAGTCTATTCTAGTCTATAGTCTAGTCTATAATCTAGTCTATAGTCTAGTCTATAATCTAGTCTATAGTCTAGTCTATAATCTAGTCTATAGTCTAAAGTCTAGTCTAAAGTCTAGTCTATAGTCTAGTCTATAGTCTAGTCTATAGTCTAGTCTATAGTCTAGTCTATAGTCTAGTCTATAGTCTAGTCTATAGTCTAGTCTATAGTCTAGTCTATAGTCTAGTCTATAGTCTAGTCTATAGTCTAGACTAAGTCTAGTCTATAGTCTAGTCTATAGTCTAGTCTATAGTCTAGTCTATAGTCTAGTCTATAGTCTAGTCTATAGTCTAGTCTATAGTCTAGTCTATAGTCTAGTCTATAGTCTAGTCTATAGTCTAGTCTATAGTCTAGTCTATAGTCTAGTCTATAGTCTAGTCTATAGTCTAGTCTATAGTCTAGTCTATAGTCTAGTCTATAGTCTAGTCTATAGTCTAGTCTATAGTCTAGTCTATAGTCTAGTCTATAGTCTAGTCTATAGTCTAGTCTATAGTCTAGTCTATAGTCTAGTCTATAGTCTAGTCTATAGTCTAGTCTATAGTCTAGTCTATACTAGTCTATAGTCTAGTCTAGAGTCTAGTCTATAGTCTAGTCTATAGTCTAGTCTATAGTCTAGTCTATAGTCTAGTCTATAGTCTACTAGAGTCTAGTCTATAGTAGTCTATAGTCTAGTCTATAGTCTAGTCTATAGTCTAGTCTATAGTCTAGTCTATAGTCTAGTCTATAGCTAGTCTTAGTCAGACTTAGGACAGTCTATAGACTAGTCTATAGCTACTAGACTAGACTATAGACTAGACTATAGACTAGTCTATAGACTAGACTATAGACTAGACTATAGACTAGACTATAGACTAGACTATAGACTAGACTATAGACTAGACTATGACAGACTATAGACTAGACTATAGACTAGACTTTAGTCTAGACTATAGACTACTTGACTATACTATAGACTAGACTATAGACTAGACTATGACTAGACTATAGACGACTATAGACTAGACTATAGACTAGACTATAGACTAGACTATAGACTAGACTAGAGACTAGACTTAGAGACTATACTTTAGACTATAGACTAGAATTATAGACTAGACTATAGACTAGATTATAGACTAGACTATAGACTAGATTATAGACTAGACTATAGCTAGAATAGACTAGCTAACTATAGACTAGACTGACGATACTAGACTAGACTATAGACTAGACTATAGACTAGACTATAGACTGACTATAGACTAGACTATAGACTAGACTATAGACTAGACTATAGACTAGACTATAGACTAGACTATAGACTAGACTATAGACTAGACTATAGACTAGACTATAGACTAGACTATAAACTAGACTGTAAACTAGACTATAGACTAGACTATAAACTAGACTATAAACTAGACTATAGACTAGACTATAGAAAACTTCTTAAAAGAAAGTCTGACAGTTTTATTCAAGATTAGGATCCCTAAGATAACTAAAGCCTTTGGAAAATTGATCTCACCATGCAACAGAAGACATCATCACTAATCAACTTTGCTATTTACATATAAGGATTCAGAATATGCCTGAAATTGGTCGAAAATTAAATTATAAAAATTCAAAATATTTAAATAACAGAATCTCTTGAACTTGTGTTTTTTTTTATAAAGAAGGTCTCACTTTAAAAAGTATTTGTAGTAATAAAATATTTAACTTTGTTGCAAAAAACAAAAAAATATTTAAATTTAGTTTGCATTTTGTTTATACCATTTTATTGTATTTTTTTTAGCCCTTTTTTTGCTTATAATTTATAAACAAAAATTAGTTGTTATTCCATTTCTACCATTTGTTTTTTTTAGTTTAAAACAATTAATTTAAAAAAAAAATATTTTAAACAAAAAAAAATCATCTAATTTTTCTTAAACTTTTTTCGATTTTTTTTTTTTCAAAATAAAAAAAAAATATTTGTTGTTGTCCAATTTACTACGCACTTTTATTAAATTTATATTAAAATATATAAATGTCGCTTTAAATCAAATCCTGAAAAACTTTTTTGCGTTAATCATTTAATGTTCTTCTTCTTCTTCTTATATTTTAATTGTTAACTTCTACTTACTTATTGCATCTTAAATCCTTTTATTTTTTTTTTAAATAAAAATTATTTCATTTTTTTTGTGTGCTTTTTTTATTGTTCTTTTTTGATTTCTTTTAACTTTCTAATTTTGCATTTAAAAAAATAAATAAACTGTTTTAATATGGTGAATGTTTGTTAAAACACTTTAAATTAAAAAAAAAACAAAAACAAAATTATATAAAACATTTCATAATAACACACCCCATGCCACAACCATGCCACAACCAACCAAACCATTTAAACTCACACATTTTACATTTTATCACTTTTTTAAACATTTTGTTTTAAACATCATCATTTGACAAAAATCATTACACTTTTTTTGAATAACTCATTAAACATTGGTGATTGGTAAACAACAATAAATAAATTCAAATACAAATTTCCTTTACCTTCTTCCCCCCTTCTTTTCCTTTTAAAAACCTGCTTTTTTTTGACTTTTCCCCTTTTCTACTTTGTACTTTGTTGGTTGTTTAATTGCTAAAATGGTTATTAACTTGCTTATTACATCCTAAAGTTGCCTTTAACAACAAAACCGGAAAAACGGAAAGTCTAAAAAATCTAAAAAGAAAAAAAATCGAAAGATAAGAAAATTCCCATAAAATGATGAAATTTCAATGGAAAACATAAACATAAACATCATAAGAAATCCAAAAATAATCAAACAAAAATGATCATTGCACATTTAGTGAAAGTCATTCTTTGGGTTTACAAACCCTATTTGCGGTCAATGAAGAGAATTCTCAATCTTGTACCAAAGGGGGTGAGAATCCTGCCTCTAGTATAGAGAGTGCAGAGAATTCTGTAATGGTTTGTGAGACCCACACCCACTACTATTAAAATAAATCTTAAATATCAAACTCCCAAACAAAGATTTAAGAATGCTTTAAAATCGGGTGAAGTTTCTCTAGCACAATCACCCAATTCAGCAAATTCTAGTCCTAGAGGGGCACCCTCACCCACACCTTCTTCATCGTCAAGAGATTCTGTAACTTCACCAATACCACCACCAACAACAACATCACCACCCACACACCTTCCAACACACAAAAACTCCTACCAAAAAGAACAAAAAACAATTAGCGACCAAAAGTAAAAATAATAATAATAAAAATTAACAACCACAAATACCCCAACAACAACAACACCACCACCTCAACATCCCATAAAACCTCCTCCTCTAGTCCTTGCTCCAACACCTCCTCCTTTTCCACTTTAAAATCCACCAAAACAACAAAATACTAAAAATTAGGTAGAAGCCGTAAAAAATCAACATCATCTACAAATCTTCCAAATATTCGAATTCCTTACAGAATTGCCAGTTCTGCACATCTGGCGAAAATGAGGATAAACTCTTGCTGTGCGATGGCTGCGATAAGGGTTATCATACCTACTGTTTCAAACCGAAAATGGAGAATATACCCGATGGTGATTGGTAAGTATAATATGACTCATTATAACACAAACAATTCCGAATTTATAGTCTTTTTTTAAAAAAAGTTTTGGTGGCAACTAATTTTTATTGTTTTCTTATAATTGTTATTGTTTTTTTACATAAAAATCATTTCATTAATCAATCAATCAGTCAAGTCAATCAATCAGCCAATCAATCGTTTAATCGTTATTTGTTTGTCTCAGTCTTTAACTAAATAAAGAATTTTTTAAATTAAACTCCTCCCCCCATGTTGTCACCTTTTTAAAGCACTAATCTAAAACAAAAAACACAAAAATTCTTAGCATTTCACTAAAATTTTAAATACTCATTAATCTTTCCACTCTTCCCTCTTCTTTAAGGTATTGCTATGAGTGTGTTAATAAGGCTACTAATGAACGTAAATGTATTGTTTGTGGCGGTCATCGTCCCGCACCGGTTGGCAAAATGATCTATTGTGATTTGTGTCCTCGTGCATATCATGCCGATTGTTACATTCCTCCACTGTTGAAAGTGCCGCGTGGCAAATGGTATTGTCATGGTTGCATTTCAAAGGCACCACCACCGAAAAAACGTTCCTCCACTAGTAAACCTCGCCGTGAACGTGATTCATCCGCCTCGCTATCGAAACGCAAAGATAAACATCATAATACATCGTCCAGTTGTGAACAGTTGAATACATCGGCCGATCATCATAATATTCATAATTCATCGCATGATGAGTCGATGACATCGCTGCCGGCACCGTTGAGGTGAGTTTTTAATTTCGAAAATTCAAACTTAATAATTTTGGAAAAAAAATGACAAAATGTTCAAGAAATTGCAAAGAATTTTATTCACTTTGTTTGTTATTTGAAAATTTAAACTTTTTGAGATATTTTCGAAAATTCGAAATTAAAATCGAAAATTCGAACTTAAGTTCGAAAAAATATAAAGCTGTTAAAATCGTCTTTTAAGCATAAGGATTCATAAAAATCGATTTTTATTATTATTTGAGTGCAATTTCTTACATTTTCGAAAATTCGAACTTTAAATTAAAAAAAATATCAATATTTTTTAAAACTTTAAAGAAATTGAATAATTTTGCATGAAAATTGCAAAATTATGCTTTTTAGGTAATGTTCGAAAATTCAAACTTAAGTTCGAAAAAATATAAGACTGTTAAAATGGTCTTTTAAGCATGAGGATTCATAAAATCGATTTTTATTATTATTTGAGTGCAATTTCTTACATTTTCGAAAATTCGAACTTAAAATTTTTGAAAAAAAAAATTCAAAATTTTCAAAAATTTTAAAGAAATTGAATAATTTTGCATGAAAATTGCAAAATTATGCTTTTTAGGTAATGTTCGAAAATTCGAAATTAAATCGAAAATTCGAACTTAAGTTCGAAAAAATATAAGACTGTTAAAATCGTCTTTTAAGCATAAGGATTCATAAAAATTGATTTTTATTATTATTTGAGTGCAATTTCTTACATTTTCGAAAATTCGAACTTAAAATTTTTGAAAAAAATTTCAAAATTTTCAAAAATTTTAAAGAAATTGAATAATTTTGCATCAAAATTGCCAAATTATACTTTTTAGGTAATGTTCGAAAATTCGAAATTAAAATCGAAAATTCAAACTTAAGTGTGAAAAAATATAAACCTGTTAAAATGGCCTTTTAAGCATGAGGATTCATAAA